AGAGCATTCGCCAAGGTACGGGATAGTTCTAGAAACGTGGCGTCACACTAGTCATATGACTCGCTGACGCAACAATAGTTTACTTGGAAGACATTATTAATGAACTTCATCTGTATAGAAAGTTTTGGACGTTACGATCTGCTTCCTCTGATCTTCATCGGACAGTGGTCAGTTTTGTTTCACCAATTGGTTGGGTCTCTATTACATTGGTCGCTTTTGTTTCACTAATATTGGATATATTTTATGTGGGTCACTGCTGTTCCACCAGTGTATTGAGTCTCCGTAACCTGGGCCACTGTTGTTCCACCAGTGTGTTGAGTCTCTGTAGCCTGGGCTACTGTTGTTGTTACACCAGTGTGTTGAGTCTCCGCTACATGAGCCACTGTTGTTCCACTTGTGTGTTGAGTCTCCGTTACATGGGCCACTGTTGTTGTTACACCAGTGTGTTGAGTCTCCGTTACATGGGCTACTGGTGTTGTTACACCAGTGTGTTGAGTCTCCGCTACCTGGGCCACTGTTGTTGTTCCACCAGTGTGTTGAGTCTCCGTTACATGGGCTACTGGTGTTGTTACACCAGTGTGTTGAGTCTTCGTTACATGGGCTACTGGTGTTGTTACACCAGTGTGTTGAGTCTCCGCTACCTGGGCCACTGTTGTTGTTCCACCAGTGTGTTGAGTCTCCGTTACATGGGCTACTGTTGTTGTTACACCAGTGTGTTGAGTCTCCGCTACCTGGGCCACTGTTGTTGTTCCACCAATGCGTTGAGTTTCCACTACATGAGCCACTGTTGTTCCACTAATGTGTTGAGTTTCCGCTACCTGGGCCACTGTTGTTCCACCAGTATGTTGAGTCTCAATTACCTGGGCTACTGTTGTTTGTTTTTGTATTACCTTCATTATATGTGTTACTGTTGTTTTACTTGTATTGGCTTTTTTATTATATGTCTTTTGGTTGATTAATCAATGTGGATCTCCATTATTCACGACCTTGCCTCTTTACTAGTGTGGTTGTATCATCATTACACGCCTCATACTAGTGTGGTTGTATCATTACACGCCTGATACTAGTGAGGTTGTATCATTACACGCCTCATACTAGTGTGGTTGTATCATTATCCGCCTTATACTAGTGTGGTTCTATCATTACACGCCTTTTACTAGTGTGGTTGAACCATTACACGCCTTACACTAGTGAGGTTGTATCATTACACGCCTGATACTAGTGAGGTTGTATCATTATCCGCCTTATACTAGTGTGGTTCTATCATTACACGCCTTACACTAGCGTGGTTGTACCATTACATGCCTTGTACAAGTGTGGTTGTATCTTCATCATTATTGTTTTATTAGGGTGTTGTCTGTTACTCGCGATTTGTGAAGTTAAGTAGTTGAGCAAACAATTCAAAGTAAGAAATACAAATTGCATTTTCTCTCGTTATTGTAGTTAACTGTTTATGAAACAAATTATTTCTGCTGTCTTCTGCTCCAAGTACGGAGTAGATAACCTCATATTTGACTGACAGTATACGTTGATGTCGCCTTTGATAAATCAAAGACTTTCTCTCGTTATTGTAGTTAACTGTTTATGAAACAAATTATTACTGCTGTCTTCTGCTCCAGGTACGGAGTAGATAACCTCATATTTGACTGACGGTATACGTTGATGTCGTCTTTGATAAATCAAAGACTTGAGGATCCTTCTCGACGTAAAACTATTCAATATGCGGACTGTGTTTTATGAGCATGCCGTGGTTTTGTGATAACTTGTAAGGCTCTATTCTGAGTTTTTTAGGCCTGATAGGAATACTCTGAGTGAAGCCCGAAAATTCCGTTTCAATTCTAAACCAAGGCAGAGAGAAGTCCATAAAACACAGTCCGCACTTAAAGAACTAAAGATGCTGTTCTATGAAGGTGTATAATTACATCATAACAAATACTAAAGGTGCTGTTGAATGAAGGTGTGTGGTTACATCATAACAAATACTAAAGGTGCTGTTGAATGAAGGTGTGTGGTTACATCATAACAAATACTAAAGATGCTGTTGAATGAAGGTGTGTGGTTACATCATAACAAATACTAAAGGTGCTGTTGAATGAAGGTGTGTGGTTACGTCATAACAAATGGAAACAGCGATGTGAAATACAGTATTCTCTCTCTCTCCCCGTTTCTCTAGGACTTGAAATGCCGACAATCAACTACAAAATGTATAATGGCAGACAATATCGTTATATCTATGGCACCGGAGCTTTTGCCAAAGGTTACTACGAAAACGCGGTAAGCTTTGTCTTACAAAACAATATCAGGTTAAAGAAATAGTCATTGACCGTTACGTGCTGTAAGCGTTACCTGTGGGGGGGGAAGTATTAAATACTGGTAAGTTGTATATGTGTGTGTGTGTGTGTGTGTTACATGACGTGCTGGTAAGTGTTACCTGTGGGGAAGTATTAAATACTGGTAAGTGTTATGTGTGTGTTTGTGTTACATGACGTGCTGGTGAGTGTTACCTGCGGGGAAGTATTAAATACTGGTATGTGTTACATGTGTGTGTTACATGACGTGCTGTAAGCGTTACCTGTGGGGGGAAGTATTAAATACTGGTAAGTGTTATGTGTGTTTGTGTTACATGACGTGCTGGTGAGTGTTACCTGTGGGGAAGCATTAAATACTGGTAAGTGTTATGTGTGTTTGTGTTACATGACGTGCTGGTGAGTGTTACCTGTGGGGAAGTATTAAATACTGGTAAGTGTTACGTGTGTGTGTGTGTTACATGACGTGCTGGTGAGTGTTACCTGTGGGGAAGTATTAAATACTGGTAAGTGTTACATGTGTGTGTGTTACATGACGTGCTGGTGAGTGTTACCTGCGGGGAAGTATTAAATACTGGTAAGTGTTATGTGTGTGTGTGTGTTACATGACGTGCTGGTAAGTGTTACCTGTGGGGAAGTATTAAATACTGGTAAGTGTTATGTGTGTGTGTTACATGACGTGCTGGTGAGTGTTACCTGCGGGGAAGTATGAAATACTGGTAAGTGTTACGTGTGTGTGTTACATGACGTGCTGGTAAGTGTTAGGTGTTGGTAAGTTTTACGTGGCTATCTGGTAGATGTTACATGCTAGTAACTTTTACATCTATATGTTACGTGACGCGTTTATAAATGTTACGTGCGGGGATAGTATTAAGTGCTGAGAAGTGTTATTTGCGGTTAAGTTTACATGCGATTAAGTTTTATGTGTTGGTAAATGTCAAATGCGATTGAATTTTACAGAGGGGTAAGAATCGTAACTTAATTAGTGTTATACCCAGGTTTTTAACAACAAGAGAAAAACAACAAAAACGTGTTAATCACTTTTAATTTCTGATAGACTTGTTCCGAATAAGTGAAGGAATATAGTTATTAACTTTAACTGTTTTACCTGCAATATAACATCAGTTTTAATATGTATTATCATAATGTTGGCGAGAATTGGAGCAGGCGACATAAAAATTACTTTGTTTTTTTTGAAAGAGCAATTCAAACAGAATTCACGCTACTTTTTAAATTCATCTTTTACCGAAATGTCTTCTCGTTTGTGATGAACACAAAAACATGTTGATCAGAAACAATAATCATGTCCATAATCATTTGTCTTCTGTTTCAGGTTTGTAAGTATGACCTGAAGACGCACGAGCACAAGATATGGCGAGAAGGGGAAAACATGTATCCTGGAGAACTGACCTTTGTACCAAATCCGGATGCCAAAGAGGAAGATGATGGTAGTTAAATGTGACAATGGATTTCCTTTTTAATGTCGTGTTTATCATTTTGAAGAAACAAAAAAAGTCACTTTGGGATTAATATAGGATAAGAGTTCAAGGAATTTAATTATTTTTATTTTTAGTCAGACTTTCAGTTGCGGATACAATGTTAAAAACAAAAATATTTAGTTGAAACTCTTGTGAATTTTTTTTACAAAAAAAAGCCTCAGTTTTATTACTGATATCTTGACGTAAAATACACTAGTAGTTTGACTCGCCCCCCCCCCCGTGGCACAGCGGTATGTCTGTGGACTTACAACGCTAGAATCCGGGTTTCGATACCCGTGATGGGCAGAGCACAGATAGCCCATTGTGTAGCTTTGTGCTTAATTACAAACAAACAGACAAACATTTTTGACTCGCCCCCCCAGTAGCACAGCGGTATGTCTGTGGACTTACAACGCTAGAATCCGGGTTTCGATACCCGTGGAGCGCAGAGCAGAGATAGCCCATTGTGTAGCTTTGTGCTTAATTACAAACAAACAAACAGTTTTGACTCGCAGTTTTAAGAGTGTGTAATAAAGCTCGAGCGTAAATCTTACAATTGGTCCATCAATACGAGTAACTTGAAGTCGGACGATAATGATGAGAGGGTTTCGATTTTTCTGATAATAAGCACGAATGATTATTTCTCCCTTCGTGTGTTTCGATACATTAAAATATATATACAGTTTTATAGACCGTTTATATTACTTTTATCATTTTTTAGGTATACTGCTCTGTGTTGCAGTTGATATTCGGCCAGATTTTCCAAGTTTGATGGTTGTTCTTGATGCTAAGACATTTACCGAGATTGGACGAGCAGAAGTCAGCCCAGACATTACAGTTCGATACAGTGTTCACAGTCATTTTATAAAGAATCAAAATTGACGTTATCACTAAGTTTGTAGCTGTTGTTGTTGTTCCCTTAACTAACTTGAGAAAATGTTTTACACGCTAAATAATTCAACAACTAATTGTGTTTGTGATTTACTACGTTAACGTAACTATATAAAATTTAAAAATGACGTAAGACTAGCGAGTGTAAGTGGAACTAACGGCTGTTAAGCCTACTTTAAATTTGTTTCTCTTGTGTTGCGTTTTATTGTTCATCTATTAAAAAAAACATTTCTGTTGTTGTTTGACTTAAACGATAGTTGTAACAAAAAGCCATATTTGTATACCTGGACACCTTTTTTTAATTTTATGTTTGTTTAAACTTATCCGCTAAAAATCTGGAAATTTTGATGAATTAGTTTTTTTTTATTATTCGCATTTTCACGCATAATAAATAAAATGTATTATAAAACGCATGACATAAATATTATTGAATTAATCTTAAAAGCTAACATGGTTTCCTTAAACATTTGACGCATTTGCATTTATTTTATTGGATGTTTTTGTTTGTTTTTCGAATCAGACAAAATGTGGCTGATATGACAAAACATTGCTATTTATCAAGATGTACTTATTTTTCTAACGCTTATTAGATTTATATGTGTAACTTGGATATAATAAGAAGACTTATTTAGAGTTTGTGATTTTTACTTATGTTCTTTATTGAGACTTATTTTATCCAGCATTAAACATACTGTTCCAAACAACCAAAATCTGTGAAAGAGTTTTACATTTAAAAAAATCCAGAAAAAATGTAAATTATATACAAAAGTGAAAACTATAGTTATTTGTTACTGTACGTTAGTAACACTATCCGCCTTTGTAAAATACATAATATAAATACTGAGTATGTAATTAGTGTCACTCCTACACAAGTGCTATATATGATTTCTCAAAGAAGGTCCTGTCCTCCTTTTACTCATTAGATACACAGCTGTTGTTTCTATAAACTCTAACTTTTAAACTATAATTATTTGTTACTGTACTTTAGTAACACTATCCGCCTTTGTAAAATACATAATATAAATACTGAGTATGTAATTAGTGTCACTCCTACACAAGTGCTATATATGATTTCTCAAAGAAGGTCCTGTCCTCCTTTTACTCATTAGATACACAGCAGTTGTTTCTATAAACTCGAACTTTTAAACTATAATTATTTGTTACTGTACTTTAGTAACACTATCCGCCTTTGTAAAATACATAATATAAATACTGAGTATGTAATTAGTGTCACTCCTACACAAGTGCTATATATGATTTCTCAAAGAAGGTCCTGTCCTCCTTTTACTCATTAGATACACAGCAGTTGTTTCTATAAACTCTAACTTTTAAACTATAATTATCTCCAATTATTGTCAATAACTGATAAAAACGTCATTGCACACTTTACTTAAATATGATTGAGTCACGCCTATAATTATCATACTCATGTTCTTTTAAGGTCAAAAGTTACTGTCGAAATTGGGTGAAGATCATGTTTGTCTACTGCCGGTTCCATACGAGCGTTTTATACTAATAATAATAATATGTAACAAATGAAAGTGGATAATAAAATTAAAAGGCATTGATATATATTTTTGTTCAAAGGCGATAATAAATAATAAAGCTAACGTGAGATGACGCTGTTTGTTTCTAATTGAGATCAATTGTAATAAACATGTATATATACATTTAATATAATTTTTGTAATTTCTGTACATCCTAGCCTACATTTTAGTATGACAAAATCAACTTTTATTTTTATAAATCGTTCATAGCCCATAATTACACAAATGGAAAATATGAATTTCAGGGGGCTGTCTGCGATAACAAAATGTATTTCAAAAGTCGTTGCGTTTTTTTTAACTTGTAAGTTACAAGCAAAAGTACCCGTCCCCAGTGACGGGAGAAGTTTAATTTATCAATTTAAATTATTTCATGGACTTTAAAAAGGTTAATTGTGTTGCACTCTTTGTTTCATCTGGAGCCAAAGCTCTGAGCGAAAAGTACTTGTTGAACATTTCAGTCGTGCTAAGAACCGCTCAACAATAACATACGGTAAATCTACATTTTTATTCTTTAAGTTACGTCACATTTTGAAATGTTAATGATAGTGTGATTGATTCCAAACAATTTAGTGTACAATATCCTGCTTGCGAAATAAAATTTGGCATCAACATTATTCATGCCTGTTCTCCCGTCATTTCAAAAGTGAATGTTGAGCTTTGCCTGCGTGCTCAGCTTTTCAAACACAACGCAGGAAGCGGCCGCCATAAACCACGGTTCGCAATAAATATAAGATACGTTCATAATTTTTTATATAATTTTTTGACGATAAATAAAGCTCAGAATATTTTTATCTTAGAATAAATTATAAAATTCTGCCTCGTAATATCTATACTCATATTCTACAAAAGAGCGAATTTCCAGTATTTTACTTAAGTTAAAAAAATATAAGTAAATATTACAGAAATAGTGTCGCCAGAAAATGTTTAATTGTTACTTTAGTAGTATAATAAATTTGTAACTATTAAGATAAATAATAACTAAATCAGGATTTAATCATCCGTGGCTATTATTTAAACTCTTCCTAATATGATACAATCGGCTTCTAAATTATACATTTTCTTGCACTTCTACAAATGATACGGTGATTTTTATTTACTCCTTAGGGTTAGCAAATTATCTCAATGATCGCACGTATGTGCATGTTACAATAAGAAAACATATTAGGATTGATAACAAAAACCTGTATCATAACCAGCTGGTAACTGTACTTTGTAGTACTATCAGCTCTCGTAGACTGTCAGAGCCCCTTCACCCGTGGCTCAACGGTAAGTCTAAGGACTTGTAACGCTTAAAATAAAGTTTCGATACCTGTTGTGGGTAGAGCACAGATAGCCCTTGTGTAGCTTTGTGCATAAATAAAAACAAACAAACAATAACCAGCTGGTAACTGTACTTTGGAGTACTATCAGCTCTCGTAGACTGTCAAAGTTTCGATACCTGTTGTGGGTAGTGCACAGATAACTTGCTGCGTACTTTAGACTTAACAACAAAACAAAGAATCCTAGCTGTTAAGAGTAAAACCGGAGTGCCAGATGTAGTTTGGAATCTGGATATTCTCGACATTTCTTTCGTAATGGGGAAAATATATTTAAAAATGATTTTTGTGAAGTATACCAAACTTTTCAAAAACGTGATGGTGTTAATAAATAAGAGTTAATTGTTTTGACAATCAGAATAAATATTATATTGTTTAAATAAAAAAAAAGAGTTCCATTCTTCGCGTGTCAAGAAAACTTCGAAATGCTTTTTTCATTCTTTTGGTTTTTATATTACACGTGTGTTTTAGATTGTAGAAAGTAGCTTATCGAAACTTGTTAATTACAATTTAAATTGTTGGTCATATAAATATATAGTTTAAAGTGAAGTAGCATCTATTTTCAAGGTGTTGGTTTGATAGAAATTTATAGTTTATAGAAGATTTATATATATATAAGATGTGTAAAAAATGTATACTGTGTTGTTTGAAAATATTAAATACTTGATACATACATTACAGACGTAGTAACTGTTTATTTATTTTAGATAAATCACCTAGGTAAACGTGACGATAATTTTTAACTAATTATTTGTAATGTCGCATCAATAATTTCTTTTCGATTCATTTTAATGCCCAAAAGTTATGTAAATTTATGATTAATGAAAGGTTATCTAAGGACACGAAAAGTTGCTTCACTTGTATGTAATTGTAAACATCGCCCATAAAAAACAGCAAAAAAACACAAAATATGAAACCGCAAATGTTCATGTATCTCTACGTGGACCCAACAAACCTTCACACCAAACTTGTCAACAGGGGACAAAGTAGTGGTAAACATCGCCCATAAAAACCACAAAACTTAAAATACAAAACTGAAAATTTGTATATACCCTCGCATGGACCTAATAAACTTCCATACCAATTTTGGTGAAGATCCATCCATACCCTGCGAAGTAATTACATGGACGGACAACAGACAGCACTATTATATTTATATAGAAATAGTTACATAGTCATACAACAGTCAGTACTACTATATTTATATAGAATTAGTTACATGGACGGACAACAGACAGGACTATTATATTTATATAGAAGTAGTTACATAGTCATACAACAGACAGTACTACTATATTTATATAGAATTAGTTACATGGACGGACAACAGACAGGACTATTATATTTATATAGAAGTAGTTACATAGTCATACAACAGACAGTACTATTATATTTATATAGAAGTAGTTACATGGACGGACAACAGAC